TAGATTATGATGTATTTTCAGCCCTTTTTACTCTGGCAGTAATAAGCTGTTGCTAAGTGAAGACAAGTCCAGATTCATCAAAAGGGACATCCCACACACTGCCTGTCATTGTCTATTCATGAAGCACAGGCTGACACATATGATGGGAGGTGATGAACAGTTTGAGTGGCAGGCCATATTGACAAAGTACTATTTAAATTTAGCTCTATATAGACAGATATTTGGTGCTCTAATTCAGATTGTTGTTTCCTGGACAGAAAACAGACACAGCACCAAATTTTTGTTTTGCAAATTTCTGCCATTACATATTTTGTTAATACATCAAAAGTTTAAATTGGCCAAAAAACAACTACAAAAGATTATAATTATAGTTAACAAAGATCAAAGAGGTAGATACGTCCACACATAAATATGAAATGAGTACAGCTTGCCCTCAAACATTTGAAATGTGAACCTGAAAATATCACATTCTGTATAGGTCTGACATACAACACAGCAAAAGGTACATATATTGTTGGTTGCCAGAGAAACGTATACCCTCGGGGGATGTGTTTTTTCATCATGAAACAAAAATAAATCAAAATATAGTGTAATTGTACCATCAGTGCTGATTTGTTGGCAAAAGCACAGTGTGGCCTTTGCCTTGACTGACAGATGAAATCTAGATATACAAACATCATTTCTAAACATTCAAAAGGAAAAAAGAAAGAAGTGTGTGTATGCCTGCATTTCTCATGCTGTGGGGATATAAAACAGATCCCCTTTAGTCATATTGAAGCGATCTGCCTCCCTGCTACGGACAAAAAGCAACCCCCATGTACGTGTACATGGTTACAGTGTATGGCGAACACTTGGGTTAAAGACAGAGAGACAGAAAAAAAGAGAGAAAGATTGCAAGGGGGTGACTGAGTTTGCGCCAGTTTTTCTTGTCATTCAAATCGGTTAGCAAACATTTTTGGTTAACCCTTAATAGCTGAAACGATTTATGTCACATCACAGATTGTGTGAAATTAAATGAACGTGACAATGAGGGGTTAATCATTTTAAACATTTATTTCCTTGTGCTTCTTTAAGTATAACTGTAATTCTGTCTTTTTGCCTACAGACAGATTGTATGATCCACAGTATCATTATATGTTACATAACAAGGTCAGTGTTTGAAAAAAAAGTGTAATAAGAGCAAACACACAGTGGAACAAAACTGAAAGAATTACTTTAATGTATGCATGCCCAAACAGCACTTTATTTGTCATGTGGATTGGAATAAGTGGGGACTAGCAGGGTTACAACCGTGACTCATTTCTTCAAACAGGAAAGTAAAATAGAAACATGAAGGGGAAAATTTGCCTGGTTGTTCAGCACCATTCTTTCGATCATGTGAAATCATACCAATAATGGCAGGGTCTGCTAAAGAGACGAGCATTAGTGTACATCCTTACATACTTAAAACAACAACAAGACAGCAACATCAAAAATAGCAAATAAGGTTTTCACAGTGGTACTCTTTCTATTTAAGAATCTTAAACTCAGGTGGATATACTGCCCATCTGAAAGCTTTCTCTGAATTAAATGAGTCATTTTAAGTGGTTCCTTTGCTTTTAAACATTTGCTAGTGGCTGTCAGGCTGCACAGCTGTGCTAACATAAATATAGTAACATTAGCACCAGCAACAAAGATAAAGAACAGGCAATGTGGATCCAAATGTCATAGATTTAGGGGAAAGGTCATGGGGTTACACAAGTTTTTAGGGTAATGTCAGTTCAAAATTTCATCATAACCCATCCTAGAGCTGTTGAGATGTTTTAGTCCAAAGTAATGAAACCCAGAAACTGACAAAACAACACTGACCAAACAGGAAATGTCAAAGTGATTGATTGATTGATTGATTGATTGATT